TAATCCTAGAAAAACAAGAAAATTATGAAAAGAAAGTTAACCAATTAGAAAAGAAGATCCAGAATCTTAAGGAAGAAAATGCCGCCTTAAAAATTAGAATCGGGCAAGGCAAAGCCAGCAAAATTGTAAGAGATCAAGATATAATTAAACAAAGCATAAAGGATTAAAAAATAGAGAAAGTGAAACATCCTATAAGAAAAATAATTGATTTGGAGAACAGATCAAGAAGAGGAAACATAAGAATAATCAGGCTACCTGAAGGCTATGATCAAAAATGGAATGTTGATACAATAATACAAGAAATAATTAAAGAAAATTGTCCTGAAGCATTAGAACAAGGGGGGAGAGTAGAACTAGAAAAAAAATCCATCGATTACCACTTGAAAGAGAGCCTATGAGAAGAACTCATAGGAATATTGTAGTCAAATTCCAAAACCCCCAGCTCAAGGATAAGATATTAAAAACAAGAAGAAAAAAATAATTTAAGTATGATGGTGCCACAATTAGACTCACACAAGACCTAACAGTGGGACACTAAAGGACCACAGGTTTTGGAACACTATATATTGAAAAGAAAAGAGCCAGGGCTTCTGCTGAAAATATCATACCCACCAAAGTTAAGCATGATCCTGAATGAAAAAAATGGGCATTGGATCATCTGTAAGACTTTTAAGACTTTACTTTAAAAAAAACCAAACAAACCTAAAAACAAACCACCTGAACTTAATAGAAGATTTGACATACAAAAGCCAAGAGAAACATAAGGTACATACCAAAGATTGGTTACAAGGGATTCTATAAGGACAGACCATTTACTTTTTATATATGTAAAATTTAAATGTATGTCTAAGACTGTCATTAGTAATTGGGTAGTTTGTAAGAAAGATTGGGGTAGACTTGAGTATGATATGACTTTAAAAAGTTAAAACCATTTAGGAACAGCTAAAAATAGTAATTATTTTATATAAATGAGGTGAAAGAAGAATAATCTATACAGAGGAATTAGATGGGGGAGAAGGGTTGGTAGTTCTGGTAACCTACTTTCATCTGGAATGGGTTTAAGAGGGAACAATACATATATATCTAGAGAGTATAAAAGCCTTCTAAATTCAGATGAAATAAAATGGTAAGGTGATAGAGAGAGGGAAGGGAGCATGGAGGGTAAGGGAATAGGTTATAGGGGGCTATAGAAGGGTATTTAGATTTATGGGAGGGAGTAGGCTAAGTAATAGAAGGGCAAGGTAGTGGGTAGAAGTAAAGAAGAGGAGTCAGGAGGGATAGGAAACAAGAGATATGCACAAATATAAAAACAAAGATCAGGAGTAGAATTTGTTATAGAAAGCATATCTCTATATATTTATGTATATATGTGTATATATGTATATGTGTATGTGTATATCTATATCTACATAGAAATATATCTGCACCTAATTGTAGCCTTCAGAGGGGAGTAGGGGAAGAAGGGTGAAAAAAGAACAAAATAAAAAGTGCACAGTAGAGAACAAAAGAAAACTTACAAGGAAGCAGAGAAAAGATGGACAGCTCTCAACACAATGTGTAGTATTTTTCATACAGGCTTTCTTGAAGTGAAACTTTATCGTCACATATTTTAAATCCTCTCTTATGTTTTGCTATGTACATGACATGCTTTTTTTTTTCTTTTCTTACTTTGCATTTAAATTCCAATATTTAAGTTTATGATTTTTTTCTTTTCTCTATTCTGTATTTGTATTCTAGTGTTTGAGTCTAAAATAAAATTTTTAAAAAACCCCAAAAAATTGAGGCTGTTTTTGATTTTTGTATTTTTTATCTTGAGGGGATAACAGCTCTGCAGATAATAGATATGCAAATATCTGCTTAATTAAACCAATATTCCTTCTATGCTCAAAAATTTGCATTGATTCTCTATGTTCAATTTAAAATATTTTCTCTATAAAATGGAATTTAATGTCTATTTAAAATCTATTTGTTTTTATAAAGCTGATGAATGGGTTCAGGGAGGACAATTGAGTTACTTTAGATGAACATCCTAATAGTCAGAATAGAAAGAATTTCAGTTTCAGGTATCACATATTATGGAGGACTCCAAAAAGTGGAAAAAAAATGCCCAGGGGAAAACATTCAAGATAGCTAAGGGCCTTGAATCAATACCATAGAATAATTAGTGAGAAGAGCTTAGGATGTTTAGCTTGTGCAAGACTGAGGGGCATGATAACTGTCTTAAAAAACTGGAAATCATGTAATAGAAAAGTGTGGTTAGTCTTTTTCAGCTCGATATCAAGGAAAGAACTAGGATCAGTGGTTAAAAGTGTGAAAGAAAAATTTACACTTGTTACCTCCCTGACCCAAAAAGACATCCCATAATGAAATCAAGTGCTTAAAAAAAGAAAAAAAAGATAAGGTACTGGGCTCTGAGGTTCTTTCTTGAGCTAAGCTGCCAAGTTTTCAAACTCTGCTGCAATGGGCTGGCCATGCTGTTCGAATGCCAAGCATATGATTGCCTAAAAGTCTATTTTATGGAGAGCTCACCCGAGGCAAGTGCTCACATAGAGGTCAGAAGAAGCACTTCAAGGACACTTTCAAGGTCTCTCTGAAGAATTTTGGGAATTGATTGTGAGATATAGGACTGCCTGCATAAAAGAAGGCACTGTGCTCTATGAGTAAAGCAGAATTGTAGTTCAAAAGAACTGTGAAATGCCCACATTTGGAAACATCTCCACTTGAAATGTTCATTTGCATGATTTGTAGCCGACCTGTGGTAGAGCCTTCCGAGCTCATACTGGTCTGATCAGCCACAGTCAGACACATTGTACCCTGACCCCAACATAATGACATCATTTTGGTTGTCTTTGACAATGAAGGACAATAACCAACTATTTATCATTTTAAGGAAAGCTCCATTTATTGCTATGCTTTCTAATGTTTTTAATGGGAATGAGTGGTATATTTTGTCAAAAGATTTTCCTGCATTTTTGAGACGATCATGTGACTTTTGTTGTTTTTGTTATTGATATGATTAATTATGCTGATAGTCTTCCTAATATTGAGGCAGTCCTGTATTCTCATTGGGTCCCAGAACAGGATCTTTGTGATATATTGTGGCAATCTCCTTGCTAGTATTTTTAAAATTTCTTTTTATTGTATATTTGTTGTATAAATACACAATAAAAAGAAATTTTAAAATTTTGTTGTGTATTTGTTATATAAATACACAAGAAGAAATGACAAAGAAATGTATTATGAACTTAAATATTAAATTAGAAAAGGAAAAACAAAAAGCATTGCTATATGCACAGCAGAATGTGAGAGGATTCAAAATACACAGCAATAAATTTCCATTTCAAGAAATCCTATATAATAAACACTACATGCCATTTTCTGAGCTGTCCAACTTATCTTTGCTTCCTTGTAAGTTTTCTTTTGTTCTTCCTATGCACTTTTTACTTTGTTCTTTTTTCCCCCCCTTTCTTCCTTCTTCTCCCAAGAAGGTTACAATTAAGCAGGGAGATACACACATACACACACATACATACATACATATACACACACACACATACGTACATACATACATACATACATATATGCCTACATACATACTTACACATCCATAAACTTAGATATCTATGATCATATTAATACATAGACAAACACATTCATATGCATCTATGTAAGACCATATTATACTTGTTTACCCTCTGTTTCTCTGAGGGTAGATAACATCTTCCTTCATAAGTCCAAGTCTTTCAATATCTTTCTGAGTTCACCAATAGATCATTTCCTACACCACAGCAATATTCCAACCTTATACTGGCTAGATATTTTAAATAGCCTAAAACGATATTGATTAATATGGCTGACGTACATTGTAGTTTCTCTATCTTTCTCTTTTGATTAAATCTATTTTAGCTTTAACTTTGTCTGAGATCATGATTACTACCCCTTCTTTTTTCCCTAATAAATTCTATTCCTGATCTTCATTTTATGTTTGTAGCTCATATTTCTTATCCCTCTTCACTCCTCTACTTCTACCTGATACCTTGCCCTCCTATTACTTCACCTACTCCCCACTCCAAAGATCTCTCCTTTACCCTCTCCCCCACACCTTACCTTCTTGTTTGAATCTGAATTTAGAAGACTTTTATGGCCCTCTCTCTCTCTCTCTCTCTCTCTCTCTCTTTATATATATATATATATATATATATATATATAATATATATATATATATATATATATATATATTTATATAACACACACACATATATATACATATATATTATTCCCTCTTTATCCCATTTCCAATAATCTAGACAGCCTTCTATACACCCCCCTCTTACTCTATTCCCTCACCCTCTTATTTCTTTATTGATTTAGAAGGCTTCTGTTCGCTTCTAAATGTATATATTGTTCTCTCTTTGACCCAGATCTGATGTGAGTAGGGTTCTCTCTAAAATTCATTCCCTTTTCCTCTCTCTCCTTCCTATCCTCTAATCCCCATGAGTGCTCTTATTTTGAAATAGATTTCATTATTAAATATTAAATATTATTAAATATTATGTAAAGTCTACAATTTGCTTTCTGTGCATTATAGAAGCAAATTCTTACAATCAATGTACTATCATTTTACAGATGAGGATACTGTCATTCAGAATGATAATATAGCTATAAAGTGTCAGAAACACAATTTGAACTTGGGACTTTCATCACTTAAAATCCAGGGTTTTTCCCCCCTATACCTTGCTTTCTTTTAACCAGTTTCCCATTTTTTGCTTTACAAGGGAGTGGAACTACATGTTTCTTTTGTGCAAGGGTGCCTATATCTATTCTCTAGACAGTTAAATTATGTTTTGGTCTGTGTCAGTTTGTCCTAGATAGATGGCCATACTGAAACTCTGTTTCTGATTAGCAATAAGAGATTTATGGAGAAATGTAACTAAATATTTAAGGTAGTGATTGTTCTTTGTGTAAGTATTAAATGATCTCCCTTCTCCTTTTCCTTACAGAATTTGAAGGATATCTACAATGTCCTCAAATGGGTCTTTACCATTTTCCCTCAGTTTTGCCTGGGCCAAGGTTTAATAGAACTCTGCTACAATCAGATTAAGTTTGACCTAACCCATAACTTTGGCATTGATTCCTATGTGAGTCCTTTTGAAATGAATTTCTTGGGTTGGATCTTCGTGGCAATGGCCCTGCAGGGCACAACACTTCTTCTCTTGAGAATCCTGCTGCATTGGGACTTGCTTCAGAAACCAAGGTGTGTTTTTCTTTGAGTTTATTTGTCAAGGGGACCTTTCCTATTTCCTGGAACAGGAGAGAAAGATAACATTTTCCTGAAAACTGAAAGATAAGAAATTATTTGAACATTATTATATATAGCTTAAAGAGCCAAGACTTTGCAATTTTCTGTTTTTATGTCAGTATAAGTCACTGAGTCTGGGAAAGATAACTTCAAAAGATAACATCTGAAACCTCTGAGATAATCTCTCTAATTATTTAATTGACTTTTAATCTATTTGCTGCTTTGAAATACTTGAACTCGAACATTGGTTATACATGTAGCATCTAAAGTGCATTTATTTAGTGGATGGCACATAATATTATTTTCATTGTTTAATGTTGCTGTAATCAACCTTGGGAGGCAGTAGTATTCACTGTAATTCAATTAACTATACTTCTTCCAATTATTACTCTTTCTCTTAGCAAATATAGTGTTCTCTTTCTTTGCTACATGAAAATACAAAGGAGGGTTTAGGAAGACATAAGAAAGAGCTAACATTTATATAGGACTTTGAGGTTTGCAAAATGCTTTATATATACTAGCTCATTTGATCCTCACAACAACTAAGATAATAGATAATAATAACAAAATCACTAGCATTCATATATAGGCTAGAAACACAAAGATGCAGCACTCCCTGTATGTGTGTAACTAGAAAAGGAGGTGGTGTGTCAAGAGGAAAAGACTGTGCATGGACTGTTTTAATGCTCCACTGATAGATACTCTTGAGATACAATGAGCAGGATGAAGATCTCTTGCACTAGTTATGTATTCTCTTCTGAGCCTTAGTGCTTTCATCTGTAAAATGATGAATTCAGTTTACCATAGACTCATAGAATTTGAGAGTTAGAAGGAAATTCAGCGATCATCTAATCCAACCTATACATGAAAGAAATGACTACTCTAACATTCTTGACAAATACTCTAACAAACTTGACAAAGTTTGTCCTTTATTTGAAAGTCCTCCAAGGAAGGGGGGCACACTAACTCTTGAGCCAACCTGTTCCACTTTGGAACACTCCAACTGTCAAGGAATTTTTTCCAGACATTAATTCAAAATGTGCCTACTTGAAACTTTCACCATTTGTCTTGGTTCTTAGCTCTGGGACAAACAAGTCTAATGCCTCCTTTCCATGACAGTCTTTCAAATACCTGAAGTCAGCATCATGTCCCCCTGAGTCTTCTCTTCTCTGAACTAAACATGTCTAGGTCTTTCAAATGGTCCTCATATGACAAAGAGTTAAGGTCCTTCAATGTCTCAATTGCCCTCTTCTAGACGCTTTCCATCTTATCAATATCTTTCTTAAATTATGGTGCCCAGAACTGAAGACAGTACTCCAGTCAAGGTGTAACAAGGACAGTGTACAGTAGGTCTATCATCTCCTTATTCCTGGAAGCTTTTCCCCTTTTAACATAGCCTACAAGCACATTAGCCTTTTTGCCTGTCTAGGTTATCTCTAAAGTGTCAAATCCTTTGATCTTGAAGGCTTTATGGGGAAATGGGAGCACAAACCACAAAGGATGAATAAGAAGGTGATGAAAAGGTTATAATTTGTGTAGGTAGAATGCTACATGAGAAAATATTTCTAAGATGTCAAAATCACAGTCAACTTGGCTTTGTCCATCTTTCTGTAGTCATGTGACAAGTCAGAGGATCTCTGAAACTAAGGGATTTCTGTCATTGATAATCTGTTGAAAAAATGGCCTAGAAATACACATAACTACAACTATAGTGGAAGTAAGATTTTGCTGTTGTGAGGAAATAGTCTCTTTGAGGAGAACCCCAGATTGAGATTTCTTTTGAATTTTATTTTTATAGTGTTATCAGCATAAATTTGAAGCTCTTAAGCCTGTGAGCTATTGTAGCATCATGGTAAAATACAGCAAGGTAGACTTGGATTCAGGAAGGCCTGAATATAAATCCCATCTTTGCTACTTACTGACTGAACAACCATAGACGATCATCTAAATGCTATGCGAAGAGCCCCATGCAACTCTAAATCTATAAGTTATAAATAAGTTGTGATCTGCATGGATGTGCCATCAATGAAATGACAAGCTCATGATATATTGCAATATTAGCATAAATTAAAATGGAAATAATATGAACTTTATTATTAGTAATAATATTTACCAGACATAATTGATGTTTAGATACAATGTAGAATATGTACACTCACCCAGTGCGAGTTAACCTGGATTAGTCCTAATGACAACTAGTCTGCTGTAAGTTCATTGACTATTAAAAACATTTGAGAGGATAGAAAAAAGTCTGTAACTAAGAATTTAATTAGTAAAAGATATAAGTTCTTATGACTTATTTTCCCTTCTTCAATAAATTTTAAAAAATAATTTAATGAATGCTTACTATTTACATGACCCAATAGTAATTTTGAAGGTGAATGGAGGAGGTTGAATGGGCTCATCTTGAAAGCAGAAGTTTCTGAAGGTTTATGTGGATGGAACTGAATGAGTTTATGTCTCATCCCCACCCTGACTAATCAAAATAGTGTTGATACTTAGGTGCCTACCTTCCACATAAGATCTTCAGGGATTAATTGGTTACAATGTATGAGTTACACATATTTTGGGGAAAAACCCAGAAACAGTGGCTTTAATGTTCTAAAAAATATGATTTTTCGAAGCCAGTTAAGGCTAATCACTTCTGGGGCTGAATAATAGAGAGTGGAGGGAGCATTTTCTTCCTATGTACATGGGCTTTTCTGATAATGGAATAGGTGAGCTGCTAACCAAAAATGAACCTGAGCTGTTAGCAGAGGATCATTATCAGGTTAGCTTGGAGTCACGTATTTGTTTTTTAATAACTTTTAAATAGCATCTGGTAAGCCAGAGGTGTTGTGATACACATTGGTTGAAGAAATATCCATATTGACTCAACCAAAAACCTTTTATGTTTTTAACCGCTAAAGCAGTTTCAATGGGGAAAAAAATAAAGTTTAATAAGGTCCAGACTCTTCCCCTGAGGAAGTGAAAGAAAATGGAGACAGACATAATGTCCAATACGTCCTATGCATGTTACCTTCATCCTTTTGACATAGAGCTAAATGTAGCATATTTAGTTAAAAGTGAGCAAAAGGAAGAGGGAGAATTAAAGGCTGTGATACATAATGTTGCCAATTAGATCATCTGGGAAGAGTCTGGAACAAGAAAATGAAGAATTTTTAGAATTTCCTCTAGCTCTTCTACCACCTTGCCCCATTGCTAGGAACAAAAAGGTCATGAGGGCACTTGAGAGAGAATTGGCAAGGCCTGGCAGAAGCCTTGAGACCTGCAGTCATATATTTTTGTGTTTATCAACTAGAAGCCATTAGAATTATATGAAAACTGATACAAAAAGCTTGTCAACATAGTTTGTACAATCATGGACACAGATTATTTAGAAAGAATATGTTACGTTATGGAAGCTCACAAGGAAGAAGCAGCAAATGAGTGAGGTAAGATGATTAGGGCTTAAACATATATTTGAAGGCATTTTGTTCACAATAACCCTGTGACATGAATAGCACAAGGAGAATTATCCTTGTTTTACAACTAGAGAAAACAAAGATGAGCTATGTTGTCTCCTGTCTGATGTTATATAGCTAATATGATCTGTGGCAGGATTCAAATTCAGCTTTACCTTCCCCCAAGTTCAAATCTGTATCTACTGCACCATAATGTTTCTGCAAGATGAGCCATTAGGTGAAGGTTATGTATACAGAAAAAGGGGTAGATTGGCAGAATATTGTAAGGAAAGAAGCACCCCAGTACAGAAGAATAAGAATTAGAAAAGGAGGTATAGAAGAATATCATCATCTGGAAATATTAATGGTCTACTTTTTTTTATGGTCCTACCCATGCTAAAAAGGCTACAAAGTCATACAAAATGAAATTTGTTAATACAAAATATTTTGAAAAGCATAAATTTATTTGCAACAAATTGAAATTGGAGAGAATTGAAGCTATATAAAGGATGTTCTAAAAATCTTAATCAAGTTTTAAGTTTATTAAAGCTTCTTAAAAAACAATCAAATAGAAAACAAACCTAAAGCTGCACTAAGATTTTTGGGACACTCTGTGTATCTGTGCGTCAATATCTATATCCATATCTACATCTATAATCTATATCTACAGATAAATATATTTATGTGCAATTCATATGTATAGAACTTTACTAACTACTTTAGTAACTGGAGAGGCTATATGTTACAGTGGGCAAGAGCCCTAGACTTGGAGTTAGGAAGATCTGAGTTTGAATGTTGATTCACATGCTTAATAGTTGTGTAACCCAGGTAAACTGCTTAAGCTATCTGGAACTCAGTTTATATATATAAATATATAAATATATGTATATATATACACATACATATACATACATATATGTGTGTATATATATGTATATGTATGTGTATATATATATATATATATAAATATGTAAAATGAGAGGATTGGACTTAGTGACCCCCAAGGTCCCTTCTGGCTATGAATCTATGGTCTTATGATCTATAATAAAAACATCTATTTAGTTGAGTTTGCCTCCTTAAGACATCATTTTGAAGCATTTCTTTCACAGTTTTGATTTAATACTCTAAAATGATTTTTAATAATTATTCATCCAATTGAAAAATAGCTTTAATCTGATGTCATCTCATTCCAGTTCTAATTAGGAAGGTTAATGGAGTTTCTTTCATTTTAACAAATGAAACTGGGATCTTGCATGTCACCATTAGTTAGTATGGTGATACAGATGGGCTATGGAGCAATGAATTTTGTACAGAGATTTGAAAAATGTTGCACTGCTTAAAAAAACTTTGCCCTTCATATTTCTCAGAATATGTCCCCATATAATTGACCTTTTTGGATTCATCTTCATTTTCCATTTACAGGAGTCACCCAGTCATTCTTGGTCCAGTCAATCCTTCTGAAGATGTAGATGTTAAAGAGGAGCAAATGCGAATTTGGGCCGGAAGAACATACAATGACATTCTTGTGCTCCAGAACCTCCAAAAAAGTTACCAAGGTTTTGGCAAGAAGACCACTGCCGTGAATGATATTAGCTTGGGAATACCAAGAGGCGAGGTAAAATGAATTCTATTTCGAGTCTCATTTGGGGTCAAAATTGTGTAATCATAAGCAGTTGTTCAGATATATAATGTTATGTTCAGAAAGTTGGAAATCACACTCAAAGGGACCTTTCACTTGCAGCAATTTTTGGGAAATGAATACTAGTGGACTCAGAAAGAGGAGCTAGGGGCTATTTACATAGTGAATACATTTTCCGGGATTGATACTGTTCATTTTCTTTCATGGCTTGCTTTGGTTTTTAAAAATACGTGTGACATTAGAGTGTTAATGACTGTTTGTTTAGGTTGTGAAATAGATTATTTTTTTGATTGAGTAGGAATATTTTATGGATTAGATTAATTAAGGAAACAGCTTCCAACTCTTACTTGGAATTTAATACTCTTTAAGTGCCCAATTAAATATATATATATAGTCAAATGAGAGCAGAAAGGTAAAAGAAATTCACATACTATAACACTAAATGGGAGATGTTTTCATAAATATGATGCTAAATCTTGCTGAAATGTTTAATTAAAGCTGACAGAAGTAGCATAAATTGCTCCTGATTTGCTCTTAAATTGCAGATGTAAAGGAAAATCAGTTCTGAAAATAATTGCTCTTAATGATGGCTAAAAAAGAAAATACCTTGCATTCATTTCTATTCTCCCCAGGAATTCAAAGTACGAAATAGACATTATCCAGCTAATAGCTACAACATGTTTGTGAAGTTAGAGGTAGACCTTGTACTCCATTTTAAAAATGAGAAATTTAAAATGTAAAAATTTAAGTGACTAACTTAATGTGATTCAATGACCCAGGTATGTAGAGAAAAATTATCTAACAATGGAAGACAGAAGTGACAGTAAAGAGAATTCTATCCAACAAATGTTGAATAAATGCCTCCTGTCCTCAAAGCATTCTGCTAAATACAGGTACTAGAAAGGCCCTCAAAATTAGTAATCGTTGCCCCTAAGAAGCTTGCATTCTATAAGGGACTTAGTAACTTCACTATTATCCTAGGGACCTAGTTCCACTAGTGGTCATTTATATAGTTTCAGCCATGTTATTTTATCATTTTTTCCTATTCTCTCCTAATTATAGTGGTATAAAGTGCAAGAGCAATGCTTAAAGTTAATTCATATAAAAATGCTATCAAAAAACTAATGTTCAATTCTAGCTGTGGGTTTGCAGGATTCTAGAAGATATGGTGCTTAAAGATGTTCTGTCTCTGCACTTTGTAGGAGAGGAAATTGAGGGCTCAAGATAGAAATCATTTGCCAAAGTGTTATTTTCTAAGGAGTTTTAATGTATTCTTTTTTTTTTTAAAGAATCCTTTCAAAATTATGTATTCGTTACCTACTGATCAATTAGTCAACCTATCTTTATAGATTGTTCACCCCATGCCAAACTCAATGTTAGGTTTCTTGAGGGAATAGTAATAATAATGATAATGATAATGATAATAATAATAATAATAATAACCTCACAATATGTTTGGGGAGATGGGATATAAACACAAAGTAGAAGACTTCTGAGACATTATGATTAAATGCCTAATGAGTGCCTAATAACAAAGAAGTTAATACTGTAGGTGCAGTTGAAAGACAGTTGGAGTAATCAGCCAAAGCTTTATGGGGGCTGTTGAATTCAAGCTATATCTCAAAGGATGGGTAGAGTTTGCTGATGCAGGAGGGAAAAAGGCCTTGGTTTTTTTTTGTGCTAGTACAAGTGACTCTGTAGGCAAAATAGGTTTTCTTATTCTTATCTATTTATTTATTGACATTCTTGTATTTATCCATCTGTTTGTCTATTCAGTGACATATTTATTAATTTATTTATATATTCATTGATTTATTTCTTTATTCTGTTTCTCTATTCATTTATCTATTTATACATTCATTTTTTGTTTTGTTTGTTTATGTGTAAATAGAGCTTGTCACTAGGTGACTCTTAGCAGCTTATACTCTCCTTTCCACCACTGTACCACCTTCACTGCAGAACTTGAAAGGAACCTGAGAGCCTGTGGCACAAGGGTTTGGTCCATGAGTGTGATCATTGTCAATAGCGTGACCAGGGAGTGTTTGAAAGCTATTAGCCCTAGTGACTTGAATTCAACGGAATTCAGCTAGTAGGCGTTGTCTTAGCAACTCCTCATTTCTGCCTAGTTTCATCTTCCTGGCAGCCACTTTGTATCAGTCCTTCCCAGTCTAAACATTATTCTCCTGAGTAGAGAAAACAGAAGTAAAACGAGTGTTGAGTAGTTGTATCTTTCGTCTATTGTTCTTGATCATCTTCCTATTCAACCAGAGCAGCATTTTGATAGTTCTTATGATGTTCCTTTGGTTTCTAATATAGCTTTTAAAAAATAAATGTTTTAAATTTTTTTCCTTAACATACATCATTGCCTCAACTCATTCTGAGCTTTGATGGTTTTGATGCTATACTTATGGGGTTATCCTATTCCATTAAACGTGCTTTTTAAAAATATAAGGTACCGACTTTTGCGTCTTCTCTGCCACAAATTCAATCAAGGCTAGTCCTTTCTCTTTTAGATTATATTCACATTTTTTTAACCATCATTTATTAAGCACCTACCATGTGACAATCACAGTTAAAACACTTTACACATATATCTCATTTGATCCTTAAGACAACCTGGTATAGAATGGCAATTTCTCCTTGTCTGGTACATCATAGTGGCTTAATAAATGCTCATTATTTGATTGATCGGGTTTTGAAAGATAAAATTGTCATTAAGAAAAGTCAAGAAATTATTATATCTCTGTTTTTGGCAGAGAGAGCTCCAGGAGATATCTGGAGAATTGAGTTCTCCTAGTCCATCACTACATGGTTCTTTGGCATATTTGTTTTCTACACTTCTCGATTATTTATTCTTGTCCAGATGGTCTGCTATATACTCACAGAAATTATTGCTTTTGTTTCTGCCTTCACTGGAGCCTCACCCAAAAGCTCTCTGCCACACAAAGAGATATGGAAGCTGGAAGAAGAAGAAAAATCAGTAGACTTTTAGTCAGATAAGGACTGGGTTAAAATCTAGCATCTGACACTTATTAGATGTGTGCCCATAGGTGAATTACTTAATTTCTCTGGGTCTTAGTTTCCTTATAAGCAAAATGAGTATATTAGTTTTTGGATTTTTTCGCATACTTTTTCAATGTCCATTTTTATTCCTCTGGACTCTTTTATTCCTTCTATACTTTTCAATGAAGCTTCCATAGCTTTATCACAGTAATCAATCACATTCCAACTAATCTCAGTGACAATTGTGAGTTAACATTTGCCTCCTTGAATTAAGATGTCTAGTTTACCTTGAATATTACTCGTATTTTGTGCATTTGTTTAGAGACATGTGCTCTGAAGATTTTTGGAGGCAATGAATTGTTTTGTCATCTTTTTTCTTGTATAGTGTTTCCTGTGAATTACTAGTCATTCCTTCTATATTTAATTTGCTATTTTCTATTGCATCTAAAATTACATAGCTTTCTACTTTCCCTTCTCCTTTCAATTTTAAACCATCTGGGTGAGATTTAAAACATTCAGGACAAATATATTTTATTGACCTAATTTTTTGATCCTCACTAGGTGTACTCCATTCTTTGCCAAGAACACATGATCCCCACATTTAAAGTTGTGGTCTACACAATAAAAATCCCATTTTCAGGCACATGTTTTTTAAACTGGATGTTCTGAAGCACCTATTTTCAGTCAGCAACAATATGGATAATACCAGTTGTCTTCCCAAGGCCTTCAGGTTTTGTTTTTTTTTTGCATAGGATTTCAAAATTCCTAGCTTTGCTGTCTCTTTTTTCTCTGCCAGTATTGCTTGTCCCTGTATGAATTATCAGATAAAGTTTGACAAGTCTTGGTAGGCTCTCTACCAAATCCTGAATACATGCCAAGAGCTTTTTCTATTGTTCATGTCAACTTGACAAATAACTGCTTTATATTGCTCATCAGAGAGTGACCAACCTCTACTTCTTCCTGCTATTATTGCTAGATAACTTGTCTCCTGATAGAACCTGTTAATCCACATCATTATTCCTTGGAGTACCAGAAGCTTCTTCCTTTGGAGAGTATCCATCTTCCTCCTTGAAAGAAAGAGCCTTATTGCAATTACTTAGCTTTAAATGTCCAGTCATCCTCCCTATCCCTTTGTCACATATACTACTTTCTGTCCTACTGGCAGAGGTTAAGATTCCTCTCTGGTTTTGGATGTGTATCTATTGGCACACCATAACAAAAACACAATTCAGTTTTCTCAAATATAAAATGAGGAGGTTGGATCTAGATGACAAAAAAATCCACATTTATGTTACAAGCAATATCCTCAGTTATTTTTATTGGTAGCTTCGTGATGAACTCTTTATGGCAAATGTCAACCCGGCAAGTCATGAGCAAGATTCAGTTAATTTGTCTCAAGTTTGCCTCTTACCGTCACCATCCATAACATCATGCTAACTCACTTAACAGCTTTGGAGTAGTAATTAGCATATTTTGCCAAATCCTAATGCAAATAGAAGCTGCTCAAGGTTGTCTTCTGTGCAAATAATACAATGACAAAGGAAGACTCTAATAAAATCTAATTACCTATCTTTTCTGCTTTCATTCTACTGATACACTCTACTTATTTACTTCTACTTTCCTGCTCACAGTGTTCTTAAGACATTCTGCCAGATCTTGATATCACAGAATTGTGGATGGTGATGGCAAGACACAAGCCCGTGCCAAATAAATTAATCCTAGCTTATATGGTGCAAATGTCAGAAGATCTGAGTTTAAAACTGCCTTTATCACATATGATCTGTGACCAGGGGCAAATCATTTAAATTTTGTAGGGCTGTGTTTCCTCATCTGTAAAATGAAGAAGTTAGAGGAAGCAGTGTGGCATAGGTGAAAGACTAGTGGTTCTGGAGTCAAGGGACTTGGGTCCAAATCCTGCCTCTGACATTTATTACTTGTGTGAAACTGGACCACCTCACTTAACCTTCACAAGCCACAGTTTTTCCATCTATAAACGAAAGAATTGAATTTAATGACCACCATGGTCCCTTTCAGGCTTAGATCCTTTATCCTATGGTCTTTTTAGTATTCAATAATAAAGCCCAGAGTCAAGAGTTTAGTATAAAATTTAGATGAAAATAAGTGCCATTGACTATTACAATTCTGATTATTTTTCTTCTCTCCTTCCTTTCCACCTCTTTGGTGGTTAGTGTTTTGGCTTACTGGGAGTGAATGGAGCTGGGAAAAGTACAACATTCAAAATGCTGACTGGTGATATCACTCCATCTTCAGGATATGCTGCCATAAGGAATTCAAGAGGGTAAATGAATATTTTTTCTCCCTTGAATTTATTTGTTCAAAAAATGTTAATGCAAGACCAGAGAAGCCCTAGCTCCTCCTCAGTCCTTTGAACTGGAGTCTAGGAAGGGTTTTTTCTTAGGGATTTACTATGTGCCTCTTTTTTCATTTTCAAGTCTCAGAGGAAAAATAAGCTTTCAAGCTTGAATGGATTAAGCTATTTAATATCATTTCATCTTGCCTGCCATGGGAAAAAGGCCTGAGTAGTGTTGTGGGATGGAGCAGAGGAAGTGTTTTCTTTTACAAGTCATTAGAGTACAGCTTTAAGATCAATTGGCTGGCCTATTCACAGATAAAATTATCCCAGGTGAGCCTGGAATAGATGGAGAAGCTTGTCCTGGTTACCTCTTCTTAGTTTCTTCCCCTCTTCTCTCCCCCTCAAAAAACAAATGAAAAAAGCAAACCTAAGCTAATGTTGTGAGAAAGGGACAGATGGATTCTTTTATGATTTCTACAAACACATTCAAAGCCACCTGAATATGCCCTATTATGTTTACTCTAGCACAAATGAATTGCATGTTTCTGAGGAGCTGGGGGTAAGCATTTCAAGGGCCTGCATATTGAAATTATATTATGAGAGCCATGGTCACTGTACAATCCCTGAAATTTGATGAATAATTAGCAAATCCTGGATATGTTCTTTACTTTCACAGTCATGGTTTCTTGCTCAGTTTTCCAGGGCCTTTCACTATCAGGCTTCAATGGATGTGGAATCTCATTAAGATGGGTATTTCCTTGCAATGAGTAATTAATCCATCTTTGCCTTTTCATCCCATGCTCATTTTCTTCCATGGCTCCTCTATAGAGCAACCACCCAATGTGTTGGACCTGGGTGGCACAATGGATAGAGTTTTGGGCTGAAATCCTGCCATAGACACTTACTACCCATGTAACCCTGGGCAAGTCACTTTATCTACCTCAGGCTCAATTTTCTTATCTGTAAAATAGGTATAATAATAATACCTACCACTCAAGGTTGTTGTGAGGATCAAATAGCGAAATTCAAAAGTGTTATAAATGTTGGAGGTTTTCCACTGTAGTTTTACATTTCATGAGGAGCCAAGTAATACTTATTCTGTGTCTTTATTACCACTTACTCTCCACATACCCCTTTTCTGATTACATATTTCTTTATGGTATCCATTAAGCCATGCATGTGAGTCAAAATAAATGTGTTGTAATCTGTTTGTGCTAACTTGGTATTTTCCTACTACTCTTTGGGTGACCTTACACTTTAATTTTTCAGAGACTTTGGTATACTAGCATCTGCAGCCATGAAGCAACATTGGGAAAACATCAGTGTTAAAAAAGATGGACTTTTATTCTGGGGGTCAGCTTTAAAAGCAGGATATAAATCCAGTTCTTTTTCCTCTTATTCAATTCTGGACCAGAGGTGTTGACAACCTTTTGGTTACCTCAAGATAGAGCTAACTACATCTGAAGAAGATGTTACAATCTGGGAAAATGTGGTGATGGTGAGGAAGACAGAGTTGAATTTTAAAAAGAAAGGGTCTAAGGGAGTATGATCATGAAATATCATAATAATAGCTTACATTTGTAGCCCTCTTCAGATAAGAAACACTTCATATTTGTTATTTAAGTACCAGAGCAAAAATTTTATGTAGATACTGTTAAAAATCTACAGCAACAAAAGTCAGCTGCCCTCTTAAAGAGCTTACAATGTAATTGCCATGTACAGTAGATACACATCCAAAGTGAACAGGAGGGACTGTATTACAAGCTATAACTGGAAAAATTTGGTTCCTCCATCTAATCAATCAATTAACCAATTAATCCACTAACATTTATTAAGTGGCTACCATAATAGGCAGATACTATACTAAGTGCTGGAGTTACAAAGACCGAGGCCAAACAATGCCTGACCTCAACTCAGGGAACTTAGATTCTATTGGGGTGTGTGTGTATGTGCATTTAATTTTTTTTTCTGAAATAACTCCACATGAGAAGAAAAATTAACTAAGTGCCAGACACTGTCCTAAGTGCTAGAGAGGCAGACAAGGTGAAGAAAGGGGCACAAAACAAAATTCCCTTGTGAAGTAAGTAGTCCTCGTAGCTTCCTCATATGACAGATGAGGGGATTGAGATTTAGAGAGAGTAAATCATTTGCCAAGGTCACACAAATGGTTCCTGACAAAGATGGGCTACAGCTTAGGTCTTTGACTCCTCTTCCAGTGTTGCTATCGTGCTAGCTTGCGAGGTTGTCTTGTTTTTTGTCTTATGTGTGCATTTACTTTTTCAACAGCACCACACCTACCTATAGAAGTTAACTCTAAAAGAGAAGGGACTCAACTAGCATCTTAATCAGATAGTTTCTTGTAAGAAGTAGGAAAAGAATCTTTAAAATTAATCAAACAACAAGACTTTATTAGGTGCTGAATAAACCGTGCATTGTGCTAGGAGACTATAATACAAGGAAAAAAATGAAATAATCTTTGATCACAAGAAGCTTACATTCTATTGAAAGACTGGGATGACCTGTGTGTGAATTTCTTTTTCATTTGATCAGTTCTGTGATTTCACCCATGTCTGGAATTACTGGTGACATGAGGAATTTCCTTTCCCAATGCTGATTGTTTCCTGCTTTATAGTGAATTGCCTGGAGCACTGAGATGTTAAATGACTTGATCAGGGTCACACAGCCAATTTGTGCCAGAGGTTAGACTTGACCAGGTTTTACTGACTCTTAGACCTTTTTTTCTATCCCCTCTGACTCACCTGCTAATTAGCTAGGACTTTGTATTTTTTTTAAAGGAATTAAGGGAAAAAGAGAGATAAAGAAGGAAAAAAGGGAAGAAAAAAAGGAGGGAAGGAAGAAAGAAAAGAAAAGGTACATTTTAGAAAATAGGTAGAAAACAAGGGCCCCTAAATGGATAATTATGAGGTGACTTTCTTATGTTAGTGTGTAAGGAGAAAGGTGCTGACCACAGGAGTCACTAAAGACAAATTCACTGGTGCGAGGGGGAGGGAACTAGAAACAGTAGCTAGTTTGGAAATGGAACAAGTAACACTCTAAGAGGACATTGTTCAAGCTGAGGGCATTTCCTAGAATAAGGATTAAGCCATACCATGTGTTACCTGAGTAGTCAGGCTTTCTGGAGACCTTTCTAAGTTAGGTTTTCTTATTTATCAGTCTCTGACTATAGCGGTGAGACATTCACCAAGTTAAATGGAAAGGCTGGAAGAAGAAAATGTGAAAACGTGGTACTTAACACCTTTCTCAGTGATCATTTTATAGTTTGCTTTTTTTTTTAATTCTTAGAATTCTTTAGGGACTGTTGTTTCCAAATTGACTTGTGAGTCATAGCATCAAAGGAAAATGATTATACAAAATGATGATGCATGACATACCCAGTTTACCTACCCAGTTATTTTAAGTACTTCAGGTAAGGCTAGTGTACCATGAAAAATCAGTAGGCTGTTCCTTTTTCCCGCTGAACAGAAGCAGCATTAAGAAACTTATACTAAGCACCACTGCCTCTGTAATTTACAGTTACATTTGAAATATCAGAAGTAAGTAGCATTTTTAAAGATATTTCCTTATTAATCTCTTAAATAAATTCATTGATGAACATTATAGTACAACAGATTCAAAGCATTATGCTAGCAGATTTCCAGAGGGTGAGGCCCTGTCTACATAATGTCAAATATCCTCCACAGATGCAGGGAAAAAAAAGCAACCAGTTTTCCTGTTACTTTGTGTAAAACAAGTGATGATAGGCATCTACATATTTGAAGTTATCCCCAGTGTCTGATAATTATTTTCGATATTTGGAAATTATATTAGAGAGCTCTCATGTAAACAAAACATCAGAAAAACAGATTGCATTTTTAAAATTTTCACCTAGATAATTTGGCATTATGCCAACATGATGTCTGATACATTTTAGATCTCTGTGTGACTTATGAAGTGCTTTTGGGGAAAAAGAAAAGTCCTTCATAAATTATTAGTTAAATTAGTTTGCAGAAGCAGCATAGAATAATGCATATTATTGTGTTTGGAGTCATTTTGTTGTTTAGTCATTTGGGTTTTTCTTGGAAAAGATGCTAAAGTGGTTTGTCATTTCCTTCTCCACCTTATTTTACAGATGAAGAAACTGAGGCAAACAGCATTAGGTGACTTGGCTAGGGTCATCCAGCTAGTAAGTATCTGAGGCCAGATTTGAATTTAGGTCCTCCTGACTCCAGGCCCAGAGCCCTATCCACTGCACTACCCAGATGCCCTTACAGTCAGTCAACATAAGTCCAAAACTTGCCTCATGCTTAGGGCTAGTGTCATTTAACCTTTTTCCAACCCTGAAGCAAGTTCCTAGGACTCATCTAAGAACAGCAGAATTTGAATAAAAAGTTCTGCATTCAAATTCTAACTCTACTCTTTATTTATATTGTCTCAGAAAAGAGATCTGAAACTCTCCCTCAGTTCTCTGCTTTATAAAAATGACGTAATTGTATTAAATGACCTCCAAGATCCCTTTAAGCTCTAAATCTATAATTCTGTGATCTACTAGTGAATAGATAGAAATTTGCATAAATGGAAATAATTCCTTCATGAAAGTTTCCATATGCTGAGGCAATCACCAATCCTTCACATATTCCTAAATTTTTAATTTAACACACATTAAATCAGATTTAAAAATAGTATTTCAAGATACATCTTTCTTTTATGATAAAGCTCACAATGCCAAAAGAATTACTATTATCTTTCTTAAATATATTTTTACACTCATGCCATTTAAGAACAAAGACAACTAAAATCAATCAGTATCCTTTGTTCTCTTTTGTGGGCAATCACATTTCAGGTTCCTTGTAACTCTGGAAGATTAATTTTCTCCTCCATTGTCATCAATCACATGGTTCTTCTTGGTTCCCAGTTGTTAATGGAATATTGGAGAGTAGGTTATTAATTGCCAGGTGCTGTGAAGGTTTTGCTGATTCTTTGATAAG